CTTAGAAATCTGCCTGACCTTTAAAACTGCAATTTAAAGCCTGTTTAGAGAAATAAGCACACACACACACACACACAAACACAAACACAAACTCTCACATACTGTATTTTAATAACAAGATATTTAGGCTTGGAGAAGTGAGTGAAATTGTGGAAACAGAGGTTGCTGCAGTCAATCTTCCTCAGCAGAATCTATTTCTGAAATCATTTTTTTGTTTCCTATGAATATTCCTTTTACTATGAACATTGTGAAATCATAGAAGTTTTAAGAAGAAAGAGTACAAAATGCTGGATTTAGTAAGGAAATGATTATTGTGAATAATCCTGTACACAGCCTGGACAAAGTTTAAACACAGAATAAAACATGTTTTACTATCAAGAGACGATGGATTAAATTTTACGGGGGGGGGGGGGGGGAGACATCCATATCATGGATACACAGAGGGTTTGATAGGTGAACCCCAAGGACTCAGCCCAGAAGAGCCTCCCAGAGGGAAACGCGGAAGCCACGGGGGGGGGAATGAACCGCAGAGGTCCCTGCTTAGGACTGGCCCTTCTTCCTTTGCCCAAACCCCTCCTCCCTCCTCCCAGGCAGGGCAGTGGGGAGTGTGGGTCCCGACACTTCCATAGCCCCGGCAGCAGCAGCGCTGAGGGGTGTGAGGGACAACCCTCAGTGCTCCAGTGGGTGTGAAGAGCTGCCTGCTCAGGGCTTCTGGCCAGTCGGGGTGAGGAGGAACTGTACAGCCTTGGGATCAGCTCCAGCCAGCTCCCCCCTGGGAGAACTGTGGGGGGGGGTCCAGGGGGCTTCTAGAGAAGATGGCATTTCCCCTTGCCCCAGCACACATCGCTTGCGGAGGCGCCAAGGACATTGCCCGCCCAACATTGGGGCATCTCTCGGTTCCTTTCCGTCTTCCCTTCCAAGCATGTGGGACCGAGACCCCCACTCCCGTTGGCCACAGCCCTTAGTGGCTGCCCTTCCTTCAGAGGTCTAGTGATGGGCCCCCAAGACGGCTGGGCTGCCAGTTCTGGGTCTTGCAGTTGATCCAAAGATTTGTCCATGAACGCCCCTTGCCCTGCTTGCTGGCAGTCCCTGAATCATAACCTTTGCTGCCCTCAAAACCCTCACTAGGGTCGCCTCCTTGCCCATGAATGTAGGAAGGGGAGGGGGGGACTCCTGCAGCTGCCCTCCAGAGGAGGCATGCGCCCTTCCTTGCATTCAGGGCAGCCAGAGGGCAGCTCTGAGATCTCCCGCTCCAGTCTGCAACCTAGGACCTTCTGGGGTCTCTGGTGCAGGTCCGCCCCCAACCGTCCTCAGCCTTCTGTGGCCAGAGGAGGAAGATACGACCTGCAGCTCCTCTGCTTGTTTGGGGGATCGATCAGCTCGCATCTCCCTGGCTGGGCTGTGCAGAAGGGGGCGCAGAGGCCCAGCTGGACCGGACAGGCCTGGGACCTCGGGCTCCCAATCTTGGACAGGGCAGAAATGCTCTCTAGGCAGGCGTCCCTCTCCTGCCTGGCTTGGAAGAGACCTGATGAGGTGGGCGTTGCACTCCTTCCCGGGTCCTCCCTCCATTCAGCCTCCCGGTTCCTGTCCTGGGCAATGCAAACTCCGTGCTGAGAGCAAAGCTTCCCTTTCTGCACCCCCCACAAAACATCTCAGGTTGCATCAACTGGCTGATAACTTTGTGATGCTCAGGAGGTCCCCACGGAGATCTCTGATGAACACGGTTATTGACGTTCCCACAACCTTTAATTTTACCTGTAATTGAAAAACAAAATTATGGTTTAACTTTGGCTCCTGAGCAGCCTCCGCCTACAATTTGAATAGATATGAATTGGCACAAATGCACTCCTGCCTGGCTTGGAAGAGACCTCGGCAGTTGCACAACCTGGATGATGAGTTGGGCGTTGCACTCCTATATTAGGTCCCTGGAGAGCCAGGCTGAGACTCTCCCGACGGTTGCAGCCCCTGGGAAGTGCTGGAGCTGCCCGTCCCCATGGATCTCCTGGGAGCAGGGACCCTCCTGCTGGCCGCCTTCCTGGCCGGCCTCTTGCTCCTCTCCTCTTGGCAGCAAATGCGCCGAAGGGACAAGATGCCCCCTGGACCCACGCCCCTCCCCCTGATTGGGAACCTGCTCTGGATAGACNGCAAACCGGAAGTTCATTCCTTTACGGATGGTTTGTGTCTTGGGGTGTTTTTTGCCCTCCCCAGGCCCCTAGACAGCCCCCAGATAATAGAGCATGGGGAGGGCAAAAAGCGGACCCAGTGGGCCCAATGGAAGTCAGAAAACGGGCCTCCAGGGGGGCAGGGGGGGCATTTTTGCCCTCCTCAGGCTCCAAGAAAGCCATGTGCAGGGAAGCAGGGGTGTCTCTGTCACACGTCCATGCGCAGGGAGCATTAAATAATGGGGGTGGGCACACGAGCCAGCGCAATAGCTTTTGTGGAAACAGTTTGCCATCACTGTCCTAGGGGGTTGCCTTTAGAGTAACTACCAGATCAGTAAATTCTGGCTGTGGCCGCTTGGCTTCAGGTGGGGGGGGGAGTTCAGTTGCGGTGTCTTGGTCTCCCCCATTCTCACCCCACTGTGAAAGAGCTCTGCCTGCTGAAGGTGCCGTTCAACCTAGAAACGTTCACCATTCAAAGTAGCCGGGAGTAGAGAAGATGCTTGGCTGAGCTGGGAAAAGGTTCCTGGGGTCTCCACAACTCCCACAGTCCTCACAGGAGCCTCGTTCCTTCCATCCTTTGGTTGGCATGCTTAATGCTTTGGGCAGGCAAAGGGGCAGAGAGAGAATAACAGAGTTGGAAGGGACCTTGGAGGTCTTCTAGTCCAACCCTCTGCACAAGGAGGAGATCTTATATCATTTCAGACAAATGGCTGTCCAATCTCTTCTTTAAAATCTCCAGTGTTGGGAGCCCCCACAACTTCTGGAGGGAAGCTGTTCCACGGATTAATTGTCCTTGCTGTTAGGAAATTTCTCCTTAGTTCCAGGTCGCTTCTCTTCTTGATTAGTTTCTCTCCATTGCTTCTTGTCCTGCCTTCAGGGGCTTTGGAAAACAGGTCTAGTTCAGTCCTGCCTCTCTCCTTTGAAGTTGCCAATTCACGTGAGTTTCTGTCTTGTAACATCTCCTCTGTATGTTGACTGTTAAATAAACACACTTTGCCACCCTAACATGGAAGTGGATGTGAAATCGAAGGTTCCTGTTGTGTCAGCAGGCGGTCCTGGGGCTTGAGGCTGGTGCCAATGGACAGAGCCAGCCTGCCCTTTCCCCATCCTTCCTGGGCAGAGTTCCAGGTCCTGCAGCCATGTTTCGTTTGGATCTCCTCTGGGCTGCCCCGAAATGTCTGGCACTGGGGATCCGCCAACCCTGCTCGCCTACTAGAACCTGGGATCCGCAGTAGATGCCTTGCAGCCTCCACAATGGAGGGGTGGAAACTCTCTCCTGTTGCACACCCTGCTGAGAGCTTCCTTGCACCTCCATCGCTGGCATCGTCTGCCTTTCCTGGCCCTCTGCTGCCTTCAAGGGCCCCGCCGAGGTCTCCACCTGGGCAGCAGCAAATGGCCCACAAAGGGGTTTGGCAAAGGGTGGTTGAGAGGCACAGAGGGAGCCCCATTAGGGTAAGAGAGGGTCCCCCGTGACGTAGTTAGGTGTGATTCAGAAACTTTTACCAGAATTGCTAGGACTGGCCAGGAATATCGGCAAGGTGTGCAACTGTTGCTTGGATCCACGCTGACTGTGATTTGGCCGACCCTGTCGATGTGCAGAAGGTCCACCCTTAAGGATCCTTTCCAGGCTACCTGGGAAAAGAGCAGCTGGGATCCCTTTGCAATGAGGACCTGCTCGCACTGCTCTCTTTAACCTCATGTCCATTCATCTTCTTGGCTTGGACCAAAGCAGGCACAAAGAGTTCAAACCTCCGGACAGTCTAGCAATCAGGGACAGGAATTGCAGGAACCACCCTGGGAGAATCCAGGTGGTCTTTCCCTCCCGTCACGTCACCTACGCACATCGCTTGCGGAGGGCAAAGTTGCACAGGGGGACACGGGCGTTGCCTGTGCATCGCCTGTGCATCTGCCATCTCCTTTCCGTCCCCCCTTCTCAGCAGGTGCCCTCCAGCCTCCCCTTGCCCTGAATGAGTGGCAGCCCAAATGGCCATTGGCCGCAGTGCCGAACCCCTCCCTGCCCTGCAGAGGCCAACTGGCCATTCTCCCCAGACCGCTGGGCTGCCAGTTCTCAGGACAGGAGGATAAGAGGCTCACTGAGTTGAAAGGGACTTTGGAAGTCAGCTGGGCCAACTCAGGCAGGAGACCCAGTACCGTTTCAGACAAATGGCAGTCCAGCCTCTTCTTAAAAACCTCCCACAACCGTGGGAGGGAAGCCTCTTTAAAAGCACCTCGAAGTTGACCCAAACCACCCAATCAATGAACGCTCCTTGTCCTGCGTTTTCATGGTCCCTCTGCAGGCCCTGACTCCATGCGACCCTTTGGCTGAACCCACATTCAGGGCTTTGGTTTCAACCCAGGATGGGTGAGGAAAACTCCACTTCAAAGGTGGCCTTTCTCCCCCCCCACCCCAAAAATGGTCAATTGCATCATCTGTGCAATAACTTCGTGGAGGTCACGATGGGGTCTTTGGCGCAGGTGATTGCTGAAGTTGGTGCAGCCCTTGGCTTAGAAGGAAAGGTGAGGATGTTGAAGAACACAACAATTGTTTAAGGCAGGTCTTGAAGTAACGTCACACCGCCCACCCTTTTGGCTCCTGAGCAGTCTCCACTTACAAGTTAAATATACATGAATTGGCAGAAATGCTCTCTAGGCAGGCTTCCCACTCCTGCCTGGCTTGGAAGAGGCCTCGGCAGTTGCATAACCTGAGTTGGGCGTTGCACTCCTTCCCGGGTCCTATATTAGGTCCCTGGAGAGCCAGGCTGAGACTCTCCCGACGGCTGCAGCCCCTGGGAAGTGCTGGAGCTGCCCGTCCCCATGGATCTCCTGGGAGTAGGGACCCTCCTGCTGGCCGTCTTCCTGGCCGGCCTCCTGCTCCTCTCCTCTTGGCAGCAAATGCGCCGAAGGGGCAAGATGCCCCCTGGACCCACGCCCCTCCCCCTGATTGGGAACCTGCTCTGGATAGACCGAAACAACCTGCCCAACTCACTCATCAAGGTAAGGCCTCCCCCCGTGCCCCACCCCCGCCCTCCCGCCTGCTCCTTCCCCCAGATCAGCTGCCCCTGGCTGGCTTTGGACTCCCTGGCATTGAGGGCCAGCCGGCTGGAGGAGCCCAGGGGCCCAA